TTGTGGCTTAATTCATGCATGTGGTGTCATGGAGAAAGCGGAGGGGGAGGCACGGGAATTTGTCATAGATTGTCAGGCCTGGAAATTTTCAGACCACGTAATTGGTCTTTGGGTTACAACCAAGTCTAAAGAACCCTGTGTAACGATGCTGTCTCCAGCAGGCCTGTTCTCATCTGTGTTTGCTTGCTTTCAGATCTAAAAGCGTGACCAGCTCCAGCAGCAGCAGCAGCGCCAGCTCAGCTAGCGATTCCTCATCAGACAGTGAAGATTCTTCTACCTCCTCTTCTGATGATGATAGTGACAGTGACGAGAGCTCCTCTACTTCCTCATCTTCTCCATCCTCGAGTAGTTCCTCCTCCTCATCAGAGTTCGAATCGGATTCTAGTTCCTCCAGCAGTAGCAGCAGCAGCACAGACAGTAGCTCTGAAGACGAGCCACCAAAGAAAAGGAAGAAGAAATAGCGTGGTGCAGGGTGGACCTGATGGTTAGTGAGTGGGAACACTCTGCCAAGACGTCTTCAGCACACAGCTGCCAAACAGTTTAACCTGTCAACATTTCTACTGCTGAACCTTTTTAAGTGTTTTGCGTAGCTGTTCATAGGCTATGGGAGGTGTTAGATGGCACGTGAGACTTCCTGAAAGAGTATTTTTGTGGTTTATCCTTTTATGGAAGATTTTACTTTTTTAGTTGAAAAATCTATCATCAGATTTGTTTATATGAGCTAAGGTCCAGTCACCTGGATGTTTACATGCTGGAAAGCAAAAGCTTTTAACTGCACATCATGCTGTGCATAATCCACTACTACTCTGTTCATGACAGCTTCACTGACAGGTAGAAAACCCTCCAGACTATTCAGAGCAGGAGTTTCATGCTGCTGGCTGTAGAGCACTGTTGTTGTGGAAATCTGAGTGTTGCACACAGAGGGCTTTCATCTCGCTGGTAACAAACGTGTTAGACACCGCTGAGCTTTTCCTGAGGCTTCCAGGTCGAGTCTTAACTGCAACATAAAACTAGTGTTCATGTGTTAATGATCAGTATGCTACTCACTGTACAGAGCTTTTAGTCTTTTCAACTCTCCTCTTTCCTTAGCTCATGTGTTTGTAGTAATTTGTGAGACCCAAAGTGTCTATTGCAGCAGGGGGTGCGTGAGGAAAGGAGCAGTGCATAGTGGGAGAGTTAGGACTGATGCTGCTTAGGAGTTTCATCTTTGTGCCTTTTTTTGTAAACTAAATGTATCCCAGTGAGAGAAGGGCTTCAGTGGGTGTTTTTCACAACTCCACTGGCTTTCTATATGGAAATAGGGTCAGTAAAACCAGAGAAACAGTAGTGGCAAACAAAAACAGGCACTATTTTCAAGGATGTAAGAAAAAGGCTGTTTTCACTGGATGCTCAGTAAGAAGCAGTCGCCTTTAAACAGAGTTTCCCAAAGGAATGTGTTTCCCTTTTGATAGTTTTACAAAAACCTGTTGTGTGATGCAAGATGACCAGTCGTGTTGTTGGGCACGTGGTGACTGGTGTTAGTCTGCGGTGTCATCAGTCCATTATCTTCATGTGATAGTGTGCACGTGTCTGTGAAAATCTGGCGTGGGAGAAGCAAGTTAGCGCAAAACCAAACAAAAGCAAACCCCAAACATCCTGTACTGTGGAACAAGTAGTGCTGGTTGCACAGTGGGAGCTATTTGTTCTTGTGGTGGTTTGAAGCAGTTGGCGTTCAGCGTTTGTGATGCAGTCTCCTGAATTTCTTATTGTTGCAGTGCCCTTTTTTGGGGAGGGGGCGTCACATGTGGAAGAATTCTTAAATCTCTTGTTTCGGTAAAATATAGTAACTAAAGTATTTTTTATATTTTTATGGACTAAGTAGTGTGTAGAGTTCCTTTGGAATAAAGCGTGCTTATTTAAATGTTTGATATGTATGTTGTGTTCGTCTGTAATCGTTTCTGTTTCACAGAGCACTCTGCAGACTGTAAATAAAATTAGCAGAAAATTGTTTGTTGTCTTGAGTGGATGTACCATTTAATGGGAAAAGTTAATAAATTATTAAACAGCAGTCGCTAAGTTCATGCTTACTGCAGAGCCAAAAGTGAGTGATACCATAGTAAAGTGTGTGTGTGTAAGCCCTCTGGAGCGCTGGACTGCGTATAGTGCAGGTTTAGGGTCATCTCCCAGTAAGCCATGCGTGGTGACTGACACTGGCATGGTGGCAAGCTCACTGGTGGTGACCTCTTCGTTGTATAGGGACATGGTATCAAGAGCATGGGCTGTAGTTGGGTTGACGCTGTGCTGGATGGCAGCAGTGTGGGTATGCAGGAGGACTGCAGTGAGGAACAGGCAGTGGGTTGGGGAAGGAGAGGATGAGGTCAAGGCTCCCTTGACCGCCCTGTTAAGTCCATGCTGTATTTCATTTCTTTAGTGCTGCTGCTGTTCTCATGTAGATGGTTTTGTTGGAAATGCTTCACTTCACACAGTGTAGCATTTCTCCATGTTGAGTCCTCTGCCAAGGGAAGTTAGAAGCTCCCAGGTCCTAAAGCCAGTCACTAAATTTGGAGGGTTGGGCTCTTCATGCATCTGTTTGTTTGTGTCTCCCTTGGACAAATTGAGTCCATTCACAAAGACAAAAGGAAGTGCTTGTGTGTGTTAGGTCCTGTCAGCGGGAGCCAGGATAAGGTCACCTAATTACAGCTGAGGCTATGGAGAGCTTAATTTAACCTCTGGTCTGCTGTTGGGTCACAAATGGAGATTCAAAGACATGGCTTACTGCTTTCACTGGCTCTCCCACACCACCAACTGTGGATTGAGTCCAAGGCCATCAGTCCCGCTGTACTCGGATCTTTCAAACATTCCTTTAAAATTGCCTTTTCTGGTTGCTTTGCCTCTACATACTCTTACTTTAACAGAGTAACCCCCCCAGCCTATCAAGAGCCTTACCCCATCATCTTCCCCATGATCGCACCCTGACAGCTTGCTGGATGCTTTGATTCAGTTTTTATCTTTCAGTGGGAAAGGTATTTCTTTAATTACTGTCTTCCAGAGCTCTAGGCCAAGTACAAAAGATCATTAGTTTTGATTTAAAACCCACTTACTAGAAATTGTTATATTTACTAAGCAGTTACATGAGACCTGTATAGCTCTGAAGAGCCTCCGTTTAATCCCTCCAATTACAAGCAAAGCTGCCCTTGCTAATTGAAGGGAAGCAATTGATGGGAGTCTGGCAGAAAAACAGCCTCGGGAAAAAGCATCACATTTCAAGGAGAAACGCTGTGAACTGGAGCGAGGGAGGGAGGCAACCTGATGATCTAGTCCAGGTCTGTGTAACATCAAACATCCGTCAGTCTGAAACAGGTTTTAGGACCCTCAGTGTTACACCGTCTCTTGTGGATTGATTATTTTCTTAGGCAGGACTCTAACAAATTGGACTTTTGCTATCGAGTGGATTTGATTTATAAAGAAATGATTCCACCTATTTTAACCCCATGGGCTTAATTTGCTGTATGAAATTGTATTTGCTCGAGCTCTGCCTTTAACCAGAGCCCGAGACATCAGTTGTCAGAGGCAGATCTTCGTTAACCGAGATGTGTGTGTCTGCGATACAAACCACGACCACAGATTCACAGACGGGTTTGGGTTGGAGGGGACCTTCAAGGCCATCTGGTTCCAAACCTGTCATGGGCAAGGGACACCTTCCAGTGGAGCAGGTTAAATAACAGCAGAGTACGCTTGGCTGCTGAGACGCGGTGTGCCAGAAATGTCGCTGCCAGAACATGACCTTATCGACACCGCTGAAGCCGATGGGAAGGATGCGTCGTTGCTTTCTGTTCTGTTCCGCGCAGCTGTGTTACTCCCTCAGAGGAGCTGCCTCTGCCCCCCCTGCCCCTGTGAAGCAGGGGAGCCAGAGCTGTGTTTGGTTCCCAGGTAGGCCGGGTTGATCACTCTTTGTTGCGGTGCCGCTTGTATTTCAGGATCACAACAAACGTGATTTCACCGCCAGTAAACCAGTTACGAGCCGTGTCAGACTGGCTCTGGGTTTCCACTGGTACTGTGTCATTTTACAGTGCTTTTTGCATGAAGGGTCTCCGCAGCCATAGCATCAGAGGCTGTATTTTGGTTCTGGAGTTTGTTGTGCCAAAGGAAAAGTGCCTTTTGGGTTGTTTCCCACCATTCTGTTGCACTTGCCTTATGTATTCCAAACAAATGATGAACTATTTCCAACAAATGAACTCTTTCCACCGAGTAATGACCTCTTTTGAAAGCACAACCCCAATGTTCCCGTACATTTCAAACCAGTTTATGTGGAAGAAGTAGGTTTTGTTTGGATTTTAATCGAATCGAAATGTTTATAGAGTGTAGCCGTATGTTTATTTTTAGAGGAGCCTCTCCTGGACATGACTTTAAAGCTCGTTCCTGAAGCTCGGTACCGCTGCAGGTGTACTGCGGGTGCGGGATCCCCAGTGAACCGGGTCCGCTCGCATTCAGGCACCCATCGGTTCCTCTCCCTGGGCTCGGGTGTCGGACGCTCGCTGCAGCCGCAGCGGGGATACCGGGTAACAACACGGGCTGTGACTTTCGCCCCCGAGCACCGCGGGCCCGCTCCCGCCGCCGGGCCCCGCTCCCCTCACAGCGTTCCCGCCCCGCCCGCCGACAAGTGACGCACGCCGCGGAGGCGTGGCTTCGGCACGCCCCGCCCCTCACCGCGGGGGTCACGTGCTCAATGAGTGTGTTCCCCCCCACCCCAACCGTTCCCTCCCCCCGCCCCGTCGGTAGGTCACGTGAGCGGCGGCGGGGCTGCGGTGGCGCGGGGGCTGCCGGGTATCGCGAGTGCCCGGCTGCGGGAGGAGCCGCGGCCCGGCCCCACGGGCGCAGGGACGGAGGCCGGACCCGGCGAGGGGCGCAGGGCTGCCCAGGCCGACCTCGCCGCGCCGCCAGCCCGGCCCCGTCCCGCGATGGAGCGGCGGGACCCCTGGGGAGCCGCCGTCGCCTCCCGCCTGTGAGCCGCTCCCCCTCCCCCGAGCCTCATTCCCCGCCGGGGCCGGGCCTGCCCCTGCGCTCCCCGGGCTGTCGGTGACTCGGCGGCGGCGCCCCCGTTCCCTCGGGCCTCTGCGCTTCCATACGCCCCCCATCCCCTCCCCCCCACCCCCTTCTCCCCGCCCGGCGGGCCGGTGGCGGCAGCCAGGAAATGGTCCGGGCCTAGCGGAGCGGCGAACGGAGGTGAGACGCGGCCGGGGGTGGGGACGCGCGGGGACAGGCCCGCCCGCCAAGACCGGCACCCCGCCGGCGGGGGGGATGGAGGGCGGGATCCCGGAGCGGAGCGGCCGCCGTCCGACCCCGCGCTTCCCCCCCACCCCCGGGCTCGGAGCTCTCCCAGCCGCAGCCCGGCTCCCAAAGCACCGCCCCCCCCCCCCCCCCCCCCCCCCGCCCCGCCGGGCTGCGGCTCCGGGCGGGCGGGAGCGCCCGTTCCGCGGCGCATCTCCCCCGCTTCACATCGTGGCTTCTCCGCACGCTGCGAGTGAGACGCTGGAGGAGTTACAGACCCGGCGGGCACAGGGGGGGCCGTGCCGGTCCCGCCGCGTCCCTCCCGCTGGGGAGCAAAACCCGAGGAAAGGGACGTGCGGGGCGGTTCGTGGAACCGGTGCGTTCCCTTCTCCCGGCCTTTGGGTTCGGTCCTTTTCCAGTAATTGACGTCAGGGCTTTGTTCCTTCCCCTTTGCTCCCTGCGTTTTAGGCCTTGAGCTACTCTGGGGAGATGGAGCGGGGCAGGATGGGTGCTGCGGTGGCCATAGGAAATGGCCCTGGGTAGGTGAAGGGAGACTCCCGGGGTTCCTGACACACCGTCATCGCATCCTCCTTGTGAGTGACGAGATGTAGTTACGTAAAGCACCGGCCCTGGTGAGGACCGTGTGGTGCTGTGTAGTCAGAGAAGCCGTCACGTAACGTTTCTGGAGCCGGGGCTGACGTGTGCTTTGGGGTTTCCAGCTTTCCAGTGAACAGAACAAAGCAGGAGAGCGTCGAGAGGGGTGATGCAGGTGTTGGTGATTTCACTTGCTGTGTCTTTCATTCACCTCTTGAAATGAGAAAGTGTTTAACTTTGTTTCGGGGGGGGGGGGGGGGGGAACTGAATGCTTGTACCTGTATCTCAAATACAACCTGAAAAGGTGTGGGTCCCTCTGTTTCACAAGGTTTATTATGGTCTTGTTTGATCGTTTGCTCATGAAGACAGAGGGTTTTAACCGTTCCTGTGGTCCCACTGCTGTCAGTCTTTTGCCTCCGTGCGAGCTGAGCGGGCGCTTCCTCAGCATCCATAGTCTGAAATCAACTTGTTCTGCTCAAGTCTGTGCTGTTGTCACCTTATTGCCAGCTCCCTTCCGGCTACTGAGCTTCCCAGGGGTGAGCTTCTGGTTCCTGGTGTTTCTTTGAAACTTGTGGGAATTTCTGTGAAGAGGCTGGAACACGGAGCTCTGGGCCCCGGGGGCAGGATTGCGACATTCAGAGCACTGGTTGTACCCTGGGTTTGACATTTTGTTATCACCTCCAAATGAGAGAAACGTTATTAAATCCATAGTGCTACTGTTGTGTCCTCTGCCTCGGCGCAGCGGGGTGTATGCAGCCCTATAGGGGTGTTATACTGGAGTTAGAGAATGGTTTGTAATGGTAATAGTGCAGCTCTTGTTGAAAAGAAGGAAAGAAAGAAAATGTTACCCTTTGGCGTTATTAGTATCTTGGCTTTATTAATGTGTTGCTGTTAATTGTAAAGACTTCCTAACTGCTCTGCAATGGATTTGCAGCTTTGAGCACAAGCAAGCTCTCCCCTGTTGAACACTTTTGACAGTGATGAAAGAAAACTGTACATTTCCACTCTAATCTCAAAAGCAGGTTCAGGTCCCTGCTATTTCCTTTCGACATCTCTGCAGTTCTTGTTTGCTGACTTCTCTCCTGTGTCTCAAACATAGACTGAGCCCCTGGGGTAGGTTTTGTGCAGGAAGGCACAGAGCAGCCAGAAAAAAAAAGGAGCTCATATTTGAGTGTTTTACTTCCCAGTTACAATGATCTGAACTTGATAAAGCATGATAAAACCTCAGTGGAATATTACTTGGATGCTTAGGTTGTCTTTTTAGTGAGCTGGAAGATACAGATGCTTTTGTGTGCTTATGACCCAGCTATCTAATGGGAAGATGCCACGTGTTTTTATCTGCAGAAGCCATCCACTTTGTGTAGCTTGGGTTTTGTAGATAAATAGTTGCAGCAGAAATCTGTCCTGACTTCACAGTTGGTAGATAATAAGTTGGCACTAGTTCCTTCTTCCTTTTCTAGCTCATGGCTGCTGGCAAGGATGTGCTGCTGCACTTTATTTTCCACCGTGGTTGCTCCTGGATGTCGGATATGACTAAAGGCAGACATGACTTGTGCGTTACTGACCGAGAGCATGGTTCACAGTGTCTTCTGAAGCAGATGGGACTCTGTGAACAAGTGAGGGTCTGTCCATGACCCCCCTTGTATTTTCAGTGCTTCTGGAAGTTGCTCTAACTGCTCATAACCACTTCTGACGCTTTCCTTCCTCCTCATCCTCTCATTCTGTGGGTTTTGTAACCATCGCTGCCCTTACCCTTTGCTCCAGATCAGCAGCAAGGTGTGTGTAGAGCTGGGAGGAAGGTTAGTCCTGCTTGGGGTCTACCTGGGTGAGGGTGTAAGAGCAGTCTGGAGACTACTGACTGAGGTTTCTTTTCTGCTGCAGGAGCTGTTCATGGCCACATCATTTCAGATTGTTACTCGTGTGTGGTTTGTTCTACAGGCATGTTTCCTTTCTGCCATGTTCCTAGAATCTCACAGTTACCTTCAACAGAGGCTAAGAAATAACTTAAGCCCACCTACCTTTGTCATGCAATGTTAATGTCTGTCTTGGAGTTTGTATCAAGAAAGAAGCAATGTTGGTGTCATCTTTGCTAAGCAGTGAGGAATGAGCACCTCAAATTGGGGAAGATGGAGAGGCTGGAGGGTGAAGAGGGTCTCTTTGGAGATGAGTCAGGAAACTTAACAGGTTACATTTAGATGTAACTGTTGCAGAGCAGGGTTGGGTGTATGTAACATTATCTCGCTAAAATGTGTTAAAATAAGGAATCAGGTTCGTAGAATTGCAAAACGGAAGATGGAAGAACTTACCTGGCCATTATTCTTCTCTGCAGCTACTAATGACTAATGAGATGCTCTCCAGCTTGGGAAATTATAGGGTCTCTGTCCCTGCTTAGGAAGTATAACTGCACAGGCTCGTGCTCCTTCCTGTCATGAAGCTGCTCTCCTCAGTTTAGTCAGCCTGAGTGTTTAAGGTAGCTCTGCTCTCTTACTGCGTGTTTTCTCCCCTGGGAATGCAGGTTTATTCTAGAGCTCCCTGAAATGAAAGGCTGAAGCTGTCCCCGAGTCCTGCAGAGGTGCCCAGCACAGTGCTGCAGCACAGCGCTTGCCTCCTCCTCTGGAGCTGTGCCAGCTTCGGACGTGCTGTCCAGAATTCCATTTCCCTGGAGCTGTGATGTTGCGTCACGCACTTGTGTGTCTGATCTGGTGCCTGCCATCTCCCTGCGCTCCCACATCCTGACTACTTCCCAGGTTTCTTTCTCCAGCTTTGTGTTTCAAACCTCCCTTTTCCCTAATGGAATGACCTGTATTTTCTCCCCAGGTGCATTATCTTCAAGTTGTCGTGTCTCTTGGCCTTCCTTGAGTCCTTAGTTCTTGCAGGTGAATGTAAAACCTGGTTTATTAACAGGCAGCAGCACCAGGTACCAGCAGGCAGAAAAGTGTCTCCTTGTGCTCTGTCCTGTGCAAACACTGAACAAGAGAAGTTCTGCCCTCAAGTCCTGAACTAATTTTCTTCTGTTAACAGCTCATTAGCCAAAGCTTTCCTGCACTTCTCAGTTGAGCTGCCCGGTCCCAGCAATACCTCCCTGCACCTCTCATTGCCCCCTTTGACTTCTTTTACAGCTCATCTTAGCGTTTGTGTCATAGCATTTCCTGATTATTTACTTGTTGTTTGCCATCTTTTGGAATGACACAAATAGAGAGTGTACTTTCAGTGTAATCCTGTCACGGCCCTGTTTTCAGGAGAGACTGTTCCATCATCCCATTCTCTCCCTGTGGATAGGTGTAGTCCCGTGCAGCCTCACCGGGCTTTCTGGCTATTCATTTCCAGTACTCCACCAGGGCCAGAGGACTAGACAGAGAGACAACAGGCCAGAACAATGGTGAGGTTCTTGTCAGCGTGAGCCCTGTGTTTATTTGCCTGCAGAGGGCTGGTGCGTCCCCTGCTCTTGTCAGTTCCCAAGAGCAGCTTCAAGCTGTTTGTCTTTTGGACTGGACTCAAAACTTCCCTCAGGTTTTAGTGGCTTGCTCATGGAGGGGCAGAAGCAAACCCTGGGAACGTGTGTGCCCTTCTGGAGCTCTCAGGGGTGACTGCTGGGGTTGGGAAGAGCGGTGGAGAATGTGTCAAACCAATGCAGATCGCTGAGCTCAGTGCTCTGCGAACCCTAACTCCCACTGCGTGTGGTGGTGAAGTGAAGGCACCAAGGGTTGGTTTGCTGTAACTTTGTTATCTCCAGGAAACCAAGCTGGGTCCTTGCTATCTCACTGTGGTGGAATCACGCATGGATTTATTTACAAACACTTCCCAGCTTTACAAAAGCCGTAACAGAATGTTTAAGTTCTAGAAGCGAACATTGGGAACGTGGTGTTTCTAAGCAGCGGTTTGCTGGAAAGCACACTTCAGAGAGGAGGAATTGTTTAAACCTGTCCTTAGCTCACATTCTGAGGTTTCTCCAAGGGAAATTGCCCCGTATTAGATAACCCCCTCAACAGTTTTGGTTCCTGCTGACGTTTCACACCAGCGAAGGGTCTCTCTTCTCCTTTCTCACTCAAGTGCAGCAGGTCCATGTGAACCTTTACCTCGAGTCTGTCATCAGGCAGCAAGGTGAGAAATGGGAACGTGCTTCAGACACAGAAACTAAGTAAATATGAGAACAGAGCAGATGTTTTGTGGCTGTTCTGGCTGCGCGCGGTGCGGAGATAGCGAGGCTGCAGGCACCTCCCCATGGATAGACACGGGCTCACAGATAAACGTGCAACCACCCCGCAGCCATAAAAGGCAATGTTAGTGTAACTGGGCCTCCAGCATCGCGGAACCTGCACACAAGTTGTGGGACTGACCCCACAGGCACTTGTGTTCAGTGCTCTTCCCCTCTTGTGCCTTAGGGCTGTGTGCAGCAGGCACCTGGACTGCACTTCCCTCACTGTGCTCCTGCTGCGAGTGTCTGCTTTTCAGTTAATATTTCATACTTATATCGGTTCTCTGCAATGTTTGGGTATAAATTAAGCTTCAAAATACTAACCATTTACTCCTGTGTATGTCACCATCCGTGCTGGCATTACTGTGAAGGCTCAGTGGCTGAGCTGGCTTGTACACCTTTGTGACTTCACCTGTATTCTTTGGTTTCTGCATTTCATTTCATTTCATTTCCAAAAGACATTAAAGAGGCTTCAGTGGTGAAAGTGCTTAAATGGCTTTTATCAGGCTTTGATGCGCACAAGTTGTGAACGTGAGTGGGATGAGGAGGTAGGAGTCCGCGGTTATCATCCTATGGTTTGGCTGCAGGGGAGCTAATGGCAGTGGGAAGGAAATCTTAAGAAGGAATTTTTCCAGGTGCAGGAGCAGGCTGTGCCCATGTGCTGGGAGACTGGCCTGGCAAATGGAGAACTTTGGCTGGGATTCAGGGACCAAAGGAGAGTTTGTGACCTTTGGAAGAAGGTGGGTAGCA